TTTCTTTTTTCTTTTTTTTATTCTGGGCCAGCTTTAGCTCTGAGGCTCCAGCTCTTAGGCCTCCGCTGCTGAAAGTAGGTATCTGGTTTGTTTCGGTTCGAAACAATGTATAACTCCAGCTCTGACTCCAGCTCTGAGATCCCAGCTCGCTGAAAGCTGGTTTCTGGGGTTTTTTTTAGCTTCTATGTTTGTTACAATGTTCAAACTGCAGGCTCAGAGGCCTGCAAGGCAGGCGGGGAACGTTGGTTTCCTCCGTCACTGAAGGAAGCAAGCCTCATGTTAGTTTCAAGCTGCCTGGCTGCCGGCCGCCATCTTGGCTGTCAGTTAATTTGCATATCTCCCTGATTAGCCAATGGGAAGGGTAGCGGTCGTACGCCAATTACCATGTTTCTCTTTTATTAGTGTAGATATAAAAGCCCAGCAACTGGAACGGCAGAATGACCAGAATGACTGGTTACTTATGACGTGCACTGTGGCGGCCAACGGGCTCCATCTGGGCCCCGATCAGCCCAGCCCCTGCCCCAACCTCCTACAGCCCCTTCCCCCAGCCAGCCCCGCCCCCGATCAGGCCCCCTCACCTCGATCAAGGGTGGGGGCCAGCCGGCCAACCACCCACAGCCCCTCCCACTGGCTGGCCCCTCTCCCCCACCAGTCCCTCCACCCCAATCAGGGGCAGAGTCAGCCAGCCAACTGCCCATGGCCCCTGCCCCTGGCCAGCCCCCCTCACCCCAATCAGGGGCGAGGCTGGCCAGCCAACCTCCCGTGTCCCCTCCCTCATCCCCAGCCCAACCCGATCAGCCCCCATTGGGGCAGGCCAGCCAGACCCCACCCATGCACGAATTCATGCACCAGGCCTCTAGTGCAGCGGTTCTCAACCTGTGGGTCGAATGACCCTTTCACAGGGGTCGCCTAAGACCATCGGAAAACACATACATAATTACATATTGTTTTTGTGATTAATCACTATGCTTTAATTATGTTCAATTTGTAACAATGAAATTGGGGGTCACCACAACATGAGGAACTGTATTAAAGGGTCGCGGCATTAGGAAGGTTGAGAACCACTGCTCTAGTGTATTATATATATTAGATTTTAAAGAGATCTTTCTGTTAAAATTATGGCACATTAAACTTACCAAGTTTTAAAAATAATAGTGAAATATTGTTGAGAACAAAAATTGGGTATTAACAGATCATTGCTCATTGGCAGACCCCACGTTACAAAGGAATTTGGACAATGAAGGGGAATCGGATAGTTCATAATTTACCAGATCTCTGTGGATGAAGCTGTTTCTCTCCAGGTACTCCATCCCTTCACACACATCTTGACACATGCTCAGCAGCACATCTCTACTAAAATGCCCTTGTCTCTGTCGGAGGAAATTCAGAAGGCAGCCCCTCTCCATGAACTCGGTAACGATGTAAATTGGCTTCTGCTGGGTGCATACACCGTAAAGCTGCACTAACTTCGGGTGTGTCAGTTTCCTGGGAGGGAAGTCATGCGCACACACAGTTACTACAGGAAAAGAAACCACCGGGGCTCATGCTGGGGAGGGGACACTTTAATGCAAAAAGGGGAACTGGAAAGAACACAGTAACTTACATCATCACTTTAGCTTCTTCTATAAAATCTTCCTCACACATCGCGCCTTCCCGAATAGCTTTGATCGCTACTTTGTACTGAGCTCGCCACTTGCCAAGCCTCACCACTCCAAACAGTCCACTCCCCAGCTCCCTCATAAAGGTCAGCTCTGAAGGGTTGATCTCCCATTTTTCTGTGAGACAGACGGGGAAAGTGATAAAATCTCATAAGGAGAACACAGGACAAATCAGTGGGAAATAAAGAATGATAACCAATGTCCATCTCACAGTCACAGGATAATACAATGACTGGTGAGACAGAGCAAACTTGCAGCCTGCATCGAAACTGCACATGTGTGATGGACATGGACAACAGTGCGGTGACTGTCAGGGGGAGAGGGAGGTGGAGGAGAGTATAGGAGGATAAATGGTGATGGACAGAGACTTGACTTGGAGTGTGAACACACAATACAGTGTGCAGATGACGCGTTGCAGAATTGTGCACCTGAAACCTGCACCTTTCGTTAACCAGTGTCACCCCAATAAAAAAAAAATTTAACCGCAAATGGTGGCTTTCCACCCTCCGAGGAAGATGTACCTCTTTCTAAGTTGTCACAATACAAGCAAAGTGAACTGAAGAAGGCAAGAAGATGCTGCATAATAAATAGGCTGATAATAACAGAGCTTGAAAGTTAAACCTTAAAAAAAAATTCCTCCTTTACCAATCTTTCCCCTCTTATTTTTTTGTTGTTTTGTTTTGTTTCCAATTCCAGCAAGTTTGGAAATAATTTAACCTGCTGTTTAAAAGGTTTCTGCCGGATGCAACAAAGACAATCAAGTGGAATGCCTTCTCTATTATCACCATCCTTACTTTTCTGGGAGTAACCAACAAAGCCAGTGAAAGCCAGGAAAGGCTCTGATTCATTTAGATGTAAGATGGTGACTAATTTTCCATTGACAGAGAGTTTTCTGCTGAATTATGACTATGATGAAAACAGAAAACCGAGGATAACGACAGCTGTTCAGTATAATCATCTAAAAACCCAGACTTGAGAAAAAATAAAAAAATAAAAACCCAGACTACAGAACTTCTAAAAACAGTGCCACGGTGTGGCATGCTACACATCTAAACTGGCCTTGTGATGGTGGCTTCTTTTCAGGGAAACCTTGCAGGGCAACGACAACACGAGTTACCGTAGCTGAATCCCGCAGTGGTGGGTGCCTTCTTCTCCTTTGCACTGACTGGGTACCGCAGCCTTGTGACAAGTCCTAGAAATCAAAGAAAGTGTTGCAGTCAACTTGGTTCATAATCAATCTGCATGGTCAAGCGTGAAGCTAAAATCCATAAAATCCACTCATTTAGTCACTCAGTGCTCATCCTCTGTGTGTGCGTACAGCTCTGTGCCATATCCTGGCAAAAAATACAGAGAGGAAGGCAACAAGGAAGAGGATGAGCCTACTGTCTGACAATTTCATACTTTTATGGAGCATGAAAAATCTGTATACTCACACTTTTCTTCATTCAATAAACATTTTCTTTAAATACTACAGTGTGTATCAAGCACCATGCTAGCTATTCTCTTCTCAAACATTTTAAAGGATGTTAAAAGGTTTCTAACAGTTATTATCAATTATTCTTTCATGTTATTTTTAAATATGCAATCTGTACTATGGATATTTAATGAAAATTGATTCTCTGGCCCGGCTGCTGTGGCTCAGTGGATTGAGCGTTGTCCCATGGACCAGGAGGTCCCGGGTTCAATTCCTGGTCAGGGCACAGGACCAGGTTGTGGGCTCTATCCCCAGTAGGGGGTGTGCAGGAGGCAGCCAGTCAATGTGTCTCTCTCATTGATGTTTCCATCTCCCTCTCCCTTCATCTCTGAAATCAATAAAAATATATTTTTTTAAAAAATAGATTACCCAGACATAACAATATTAGGAATCTTAGTGTAAAAAAAATCAGGCTCTAAAATATCAACAACTGGTAATACCAACTACTGGAAATCAATGAGGAACATAAAATCCTTTCATCTAAATTGCTAAAACACCAAATAAGAAGAAATGGCAGGTATCTCTCCTATAAACACCATTGTACACTGTATTTCCTCTATTACAGCATATCTCATACTAACTTGATATCGTTATATACTTCTCTGCCTCCCCTGCCAGACAGTAAGATCTGAGAGAGACAGAAGATCTGGGAGAGACAGAATCAATGACTATCTAGTCCACCATAGTCTCCCTAGAACCTAGCACATTTCCCAGCACGCACTAGACCAGTGATGGCGAACCTTTTGAGCTCAGCGTGTCAGCATTTTGAAAAACCCTAACTTAACTCTGGTGCCGTGTCACATATAGAAATTTTTTGATATTTGCAACCATAGTAAAACAAAGACTTATATTTTTGATATTTATTTTATATATTTAAATGCCATTTAACGAAGAAAAATCAACCAAAAAAATGAGTTCGCGTGTCACCTCTGACACGCGTGTCATAGGTTCGCCATCACTGCACTAGACACTTAATACATGTTCGTTAAATGAATGGAGATAATGGTTAAAGAAATAGTGTTATGTAAACACTGAAAATAACAGAATATGGGCTAAGAAAAGTCCTTTGGGGAATAAATTGATAGGAAATTCGTTCCTCAAATGTTCAACATTGAGTTACCATATGACCCAGCAAATCTATTGTACCAAAGGGAAATTAAAGATATTTCCATGCCAAGACTTGTACACAAATATTCATTGCAGCATTATTCATAATAGCTAAAATGTGGAAACAAACCAAATGTTCATCAACCGATGAATGATAACAAAACGGAAAAACAAAGTCCACACAATGATTTATTACTCATCAATAAAAAGGAATGGAGTACTTATATAAACTACATCATAGACTAACATCAAAACATTATGGTAAGTCAAAAAAGGTAGTCACAATAGAGCACCCATTGTATGATCCCATTTATATAAAATATCTAGAAAAGGCAAATTTGTAGAGACACAAAGGAGATTAGTGGCTGCCTAGGGCTGGACTGCTGAAAGGATACAAGACTTCTTTTGGGGTGATGGAAGTTTGTTTTAGATTATGGTGAGAGTTGGCACAAGTCTGTAAATATATTAATGACCACTGAATTGTACACTTGAAAGTGGTAAACTATGACACGTAAATTATATCTCAATAACTGTTCCAATCATTATCTGAGAAAAGTGAACAGAGTCACAAGTAGAAACAGACTTTGCAAAAGGTGCCTTCAATAAAATTTCAAAAGTTACTTTTTCATAAATTGGGTTAGACACTTGGCTATCCCTGCTCGGTTACATCTTTGAAGTCAAAGGCTAGAAATGTTTCCTGTCTTACCCTGTGGAGCCTCAATGGGCCTAAGTGTGGTTTCATAGTTGTTTCTGGTGTTTGGTTAGTTCTCCCTCTGGGTGGTGAGTGTAGCAGATTCAGGAAGATGGAAACTGTCTGGGACATGATTACTCTCGTCCTTGGAAGCCTATAGCCCAGGCCTAAACCCTGTGCTTGTCTGGCAGCTTCTGTGACAACTCTGACATGGACATATCTCGGATTTTACTGAAGAAAAGAAAAAGTCCAATGCCACTTTTAAAGATGGTATGGCAGGCTTCATGCAGGACCGTTGTGATAGGGTTAGGGACCACTGCAATGGGATTTGAGAGTCAGGGAGAGAGACTGGACTCAACCCCAATACAACATGGGCAAGTGGGAATGTATATCCAGGAACAGGGTGGAGGTCAGTGGATGGAAAATCACTAAGAGAAACATCAGAGGTAAGGGAAGTGGGCAGTTCCGGCTAAACCAATCTAACAGGGTTCTTGTGGACGATGGTGGACGATGAGGAAGTTGATCAGATACTGAGGGTGATCAGACATCAGATATCGAGGGCAGGGGGTTCTGGTTCAACTGACTTAGCAGACCTCCTGCTAAAACTGGATTTTACAAAAAGCGCACAGATGGCCTAGGACAGCAGTTGCCAACCAGTGGTCCATGAGGTCCAAAAGGTTGGCGAGCACTGGCCTACGAGTCTGACTACAGTCTGGTCAAGCAAAAAATTTCTGTCAGTACCAAGGATATAAACCCCAGAAATGTGACATTTGCCATACACAATAAAAATAGCTCATGCCCTAAGGTCCAGACTGAGCTTTTTATGGGACTTGATATTATTTCTGATTTTTCTTTGTACATAGCACTTCCTTAATACGCAGTAATTTTAAATCAATCAATCACATTCTACAAGTAACTACAAAATACAACTGTTCAGGGAAGAACTCATCACAATGTCTGATCATTGGACCCGCTCCCTCTATTGAAATGGGTTCTAACAGTTCACCTACCTGCTGCATTGTGCCTATGATATTCAATTATCTCAGGAATGGAACCAAACGCGTGTTTTTCAGCCAGATAATACTTCTTGGGGGAGGTTGTTGTTTCCTTTATGTGATAATGCCTGAAACCTGATGAGCCTTCTCTGCAACAAAAATCAAAATGTGTTAGAACCGAGGTGGAAGACTGTAACTTCACTCTGAAGACGTGTTCTACCAGGTCACCACAGGGTCCGTACATATGGCCCCTCCTACTTGCTCCACAAATTTTATTCCTCCCCATGTCCACCTTAGCTTTGCTTTTCACATTAAAAGGCAGAAGTTTTTAAAGTTGTCACAGATAACATTCTTGGTCCCTTGCCAGAGATTACAACAGAGAGCATTTACCAACTTTGTTTACCAGCAGTTAAAAGTCTTACAATAGCTATTAGCTGGCTACTGCTGTCTGTCCCTGCTGTTGGAGTAAACTTGCAAATATTCAGAGGACTTACATCCTAAAAGTGAATAAACTAGACTTGTAAAAAATGTACAAAGATCTATTTTAGACATCTTTCTAGAACACAGAGCTTCTGGAGTCATCTCTTGCTAATAATCTTTCAAAGATAACTCCTACTGCTCTTAAGATAAAGCTCAGACCCAGACGATGTGGCTCAGTGGTTGAGCTTCGACCTATGAACCAGGAAATCACAGTTCGATCCCCTGTCAGGGCACATGCCCAGGTTGCAGGCACCATCCCCAGTAGGGGGTGTGCAGGAGGCGGCCAATCAATGACTCTTTCTCATCATTGATGTTTCTATCTCTCTCTCCCTCTTCTTTCCTCTCTGAAATCAATAAAAATATAATTTTTTTTAAAAAAAAGATAAAGCTCAGACTCCTTGACACTGACATGACCTAACCTCCACATTTATTTCTCAGGCTTCTCTCTCCTCTCTTCATCCTGTCCCCCTCATTTTATAATCCAGCTGCAATACACTCTTGTCAGTTCCTGGAACTCATCTTATCCCTCCCTGCCCCCCAGTTCTGGGCCCAGACGGTTACCTGATTCTGAAACATTCTTTGCCCTCCCTCCAATTTTCGCCGCCTCACCCGTCATGTCTCAGCTTGAATGTCACTCGACAATATCAATAACTAACTCAGAGGTGCCTGGGCTAGGTACCTCATTTTCCCCATCCACCCCCCAGCACACAAACAATGCCCTCCTAACATAGCACTTATTCGTACACTATCCTGACTGACTATATGCTTTTCTGAAGCAAATTTGCCCACTAAGCTATTGGAGGGCAGGGTCTGTCTACTTTGCTCACTGTGGTATCTGTAGTGCTTAACACAGTGCTCAGTAATTATTTGTTTAACGTTGCTAACATTTCTATAGCCATTCTCAACAAATTTATATATATATAGACACACACATATATATATATAGTGTAATATACATACATATATAATTTATATGTGTGTACATATAATGTATATATAATATATATATAACTATGAAGCAAATTATTGAAATATCAATATAAAATATAGTATAGACTTTGAAAATCAAGTTCAGGTTTTCTTTTTAATGTTGAAAATTAGGAATCCATATGAACTATAGAGGAACTTCATACCAAAACTATAAATTTAAAAAAGAGAGAGAGAGAGAGAGTAGGATTACTTACCCTCCAAACTTTGTGTAAAGGGAGACTGTGTACATGCCCGGTTGACTGGAATCCCTTACCATAAAACCGCCTTCTTTATCCTGAAATACAAGTGAAGAGAATTGTTTCAGTTCATTAACACATATCCATGCCATGGAGAAGAGTCAAGAAGCCAATCTTGAACGATTATTAGCCTTTACCTAGAAAATCTGCTTTGGAGAAGCATAGCTTCCCAGGAGGGTTCCTCCATATGACTTTCCACAAGATTAAAGAAAGCACGCTCACAATCCCCCCCATCCACAAATCACACTCACAGGATGAGAAATTTCAAAAAGATCATCTCTCGGGGCCCTTTCAGAACTAACAGATAAGAATCTGCGACTCCTTTAAGACTTGGACATGAGAGGGGACAGTTACTGAAAAATTTATTTCTTAATGATTGTGTTTCATTTCATACATTTTTAATATCTGCTAAAGGTTTGATCCTGACCCAATATCCTCTTCTATCTAAATAGCATTTTTTTTCTGTAAATATCTCAGTGCTCTTTACAAACATGTTCTTAAAAAGCCCAAATCCCCCTGGAAATTGATGTTAAATATCATTCTTTACAAAAGGAGAGATGGAGGCACAAGTGACTTAAGCAGAGAAAACCAAAAGGCAGAAGCAACAATAAGTGACTAAAGGATAAATCCTCATAGGTTCCAAGCCAAAGAGCAAGAGAGACAATGGAGTTAAATAAAATCTAATAAGAACAATTAGGGACAATAATATAACATTTTATTGGTAAACAGAATAGTAGCTACCATATGTTTATTGAGAATGTATTCTATTTTAATATGTTCTAATCTGTGGATTTACTTAATCCTCAAAACAGTCCTATGAGGTAGGTACTACTGCTATCCCGGCTTTACTTCGTAGGTAAGGAAATGGGCACAGAAAGGTTGGATAATTTGCTCTAGGTCACATAGCTAATAAGTAGCAGACCCAGGATTTGAACCTCAGGTCTTCTAGCTACCCACTCCTCTAGAGTTGCCGCCAATTGTGGGGTCACCAGGGAGGCATGTAAGAATCCTGCAGGGAAGTCACATGGTTACGTGTCATTTGAATCAAGCAAAGTCACTTGTTATTGCTCTCGCAACATAAACTACAGAAACAATTGCCCAACAAAACCTTGACTGGTGGGGAGAAGCAGGAGATAAGATGAGAAAGCATGAGTTTAAAAGACTGGAAACCATTCATAAATGGAATAGCTGGATAAAAAATGCAGAGAACTGTAGAGGTCACCTGCTAATCTAACTCCTCACCTAACAGATGAGAAATAGGCTAGAAAAGTCACAGTTAGACTTGGGTCACCTTACTTAGCCCATTATAGTTTCCTCGGTACTACATTTTATCCTTTCAAGTTAATCCTTTTTAAAGTGTAAGAATTTCAGCACATTTATGTCTAAAGGCAACTAAATACTTTATTAAAACCTAATTTCTAAAAGGTATCATGTACTTTAACTAAGGGAAATGTGGGTCTCTGACTCCATCTTGTCCAATCTTGCCTGTTCCCATGGCCTCAGGCTAGTAGCTCTGCTTGGTTGCATATGGACATGCTAACCACTAGAAGAATTCTGCTAGCCCCTGAGTTTTACAAAAACAGCCCCTCCCATTTCCCCTTCCCTTGACATAAAAGAAGCCTGAACTCTCTACTTTCTTAGGATGAATTTGATGGTTAGTTTCCCATCTTCTCGGTTGGCACCTTTGGATCAATAAAGCTTTCCTTACTCCAAAGTCTGAAGTTTTGAGTTTTGGCCTTTCAAAGTATCAGGCACACAGTCTTTGGACCAGTAACATACTATTGATATTAATTATTTTAAAACAAATAACTTCAAACAAAAAGGAAAAACACATTTTAGTACCAAAGCAAACAATAAATCAGTAAGAGAGTAAAGAAAATGTTATCCATCTATAGCTATTACCTACTGTTATGGGTTTAACCTATTGTTAAAAGCTTGTTGGAGTCCTAAGCCTCAGGACTTCAGTATGTGGCCTTATTTGGGGACTTACAGAAGGAATCAAGTTAAAATGAGGTCATGTAGGGCAGGCCCTACTTCCAAATGTCTGGGGTCCTTATTGAGGAGAAATAGCAACACAGAGACAGGCATACACAGGGTGAGAAGCAGAGAGGCCTGAAACAGCTCCTTCCCTCAGAGCCCTCAGAAGGAGCCAACCCTGCTGGCACCTTGATTCCAGACTTCTCACCTCTGGAACGTGAAACAAGACATTTCTACTGTTGAAGCCACTTGGTTTGTGGGACTTTGTTACAGCAGCCCCAGGAAACTAATACACCAGTGTTCACTATTAAATGATTAAGAAAACAAAACCCTGTACTTACAGTATTTTTTAGGCTTTAGGAACAGAGGTACATGAAATGACTGGATTCATTAAAATTAACTGGTGCTAAAACCAACACCGTGAAACAAGTATAAACACTTACTTCACTCCTGAGGAGTAGTTCAGCTTTGCTTCTATTCATATTTCTGCAATACCATCTGAACAGAAAAAGATACATCTAAGACCTCAGGTTTCTTAAATTATTTGTTATTCTTTTTAGACTTAGCAAGGTAATATTTCTCATTTATTACAAATACAATAAATAAGAACAAGATATCACTCATAATCTCAGTAATACAGACAACTACTAGCAACATTTAATGTATATACTTCCAGACATTTTCTACACACATTTTTGTGAAAGTGGGATCAAACTATACTTGTTATATCATAATCTAAATTTTTCATATAACTGCATGACTGACATCTTTGCAAAACAATATAGTTCTATGTATCATGGTATGGATGTGCCATAATTTACTTAGGCTATTCTTCCTTATTTAACATAAAAATCATTTCCAATTTTTCACTTAAAATAGCAAGAACAAATTTTCCTCCACAGACTCAAACATGCAGGAAATGTCACTTTACATTATTGTCTTGAATTCAATTAAATCTTATCCCAAGCCCCCATCTCACCAATAGTCCATAGATTTTTTATCTCAAGTCATTATGGAGGCTTCCCCATTGAATTTCAGGAAGAGTCGAAAGAAACAGAGCAAAACAGAAGAGCAGGCTTCCTGGGTCCTCCAGACGCACTGGTTCTGGCCCTGGAGGTGACCGAGGCTCTACTGTAGGAACCCGCTGTGACGAAACAGTGGAGCCTGCCCTCCCGCCAGGCCCTGCACCACTCCGTGCCTCAGCCCCAAGTGCCTGCTGATCTGTTACTCATCAGCCCTTGGGAAATCTTTCCTGAGGAAAGATGGATACTGCCATTGCTAACTTCATCCTCAGAGGTGCTCCACTCTCTCTGCTGCCCCACCCCAACCTCTCCATGAGATTTCAGTTGACCCTTGAACAACAGGGGCTAGGAGTGCTGACACACACACCCACCTTCCCACCCAGAAGTCAAAAATTCTAGTATAACTTTTGACTGCCCCAAAACTTTACTAATAGCCCACTGTTGATCAGAAGCCTACAGAACAGTCAATTCATATGTATTGTATATATTATACTAGAGGCCTGGTGCATGAAATTCGTGCACTGGGGGTGGGGGGTCCCTCAACCTGGCCTGCATTCTCTCACAGTCCGGGTCATAGCAACCAGTTGTTCCACCATTTGGTCTATTTGCATATTAGCCTTTTATTATATAGGATACTGCATTCATACAATAAAGTAAGCAGGAGAAAAGAAAAATGTTACCCAGAAAACCATAAGAGAGAGAAAATACATTAACAGTATTTAGTGTAAAAAAAAATCCATGCAGGAGAGACCAAGATGGCGGCATAGGTAAACACCGCAGACTGCTGCCGCAAACAACCACTTCAAAATCACAACTAAAAGACGGAACGGACATCACCCAGAACCGCAGGAAGGCTGGCTGAGGAGAGACTCTTCAACTAGAAGGAAAAATAACAGCACACCGAGGCTCAGAGGAGGCGCAGTGTGGAAAATACTCAGGTGCGGAGGTGCGCGCGCAAAGCTGAGTTTTACAAAAACAGCCCCTCCCATTTCCCCTTCCCTTGACATAAAAGAAGCCTGAACTCTCTACTTTCTTAGGATGAATTTGATGGTTAGTTTCCCATCTTCTCGGTTGGCACCTTTGGATCAATAAAGCTTTCCTTACTCCAAAGTCTGAAGTTTTGAGTTTTGGCCTTTCAAAGTATCAGGCACACAGTCTTTGGACCAGTAACATACTATTGATATTAATTATTTTAAAACAAATAACTTCAAACAAAAAGGAAAAACACATTTTAGTACCAAAGCAAACAATAAATCAGTAAGAGAGTAAAGAAAATGTTATCCATCTATAGCTATTACCTACTGTTATGGGTTTAACCTATTGTTAAAAGCTTGTTGGAGTCCTAAGCCTCAGGACTTCAGTATGTGGCCTTATTTGGGGACTTACAGAAGGAATCAAGTTAAAATGAGGTCATGTAGGGCAGGCCCTACTTCCAAATGTCTGGGGTCCTTATTGAGGAGAAATAGCAACACAGAGACAGGCATACACAGGGTGAGAAGCAGAGAGGCCTGAAACAGCTCCTTCCCTCAGAGCCCTCAGAAGGAGCCAACCCTGCTGGCACCTTGATTCCAGACTTCTCACCTCTGGAACGTGAAACAAGACATTTCTACTGTTGAAGCCACTTGGTTTGTGGGACTTTGTTACAGCAGCCCCAGGAAACTAATACACCAGTGTTCACTATTAAATGATTAAGAAAACAAAACCCTGTACTTACAGTATTTTTTAGGCTTTAGGAACAGAGGTACATGAAATGACTGGATTCATTAAAATTAACTGGTGCTAAAACCAACACCGTGAAACAAGTATAAACACTTACTTCACTCCTGAGGAGTAGTTCAGCTTTGCTTCTATTCATATTTCTGCAATACCATCTGAACAGAAAAAGATACATCTAAGACCTCAGGTTTCTTAAATTATTTGTTATTCTTTTTAGACTTAGCAAGGTAATATTTCTCATTTATTACAAATACAATAAATAAGAACAAGATATCACTCATAATCTCAGTAATACAGACAACTACTAGCAACATTTAATGTATATACTTCCAGACATTTTCTACACACATTTTTATGAAAGTGGGATCAAACTATACTTGTTATATCATAATCTAAATTTTTCATATAACTGCATGACTGACATCTTTGCAAAACAATATAGTTCTATGTATCATGGTATGGATGTGCCATAATTTACTTAGGCTATTCTTCCTTATTTAACATAAAAATCATTTCCAATTTTTCACTTATTATAATAATAGCAAGAACAAATTTTCCTCCACAGACTCAAACATGCAGGAAATGTCACTTTACATTATTGTCTTGAATTCAATTAAATCTTATCCCAAGCCCCCATCTCACCAATAGTCCATAGATTTTTTATCTCAAGTCATTATGGAGGCTTCCCCATTGAATTTCAGGAAGAGTCGAAAGAAACAGAGCAAAACAGAAGAGCAGGCTTCCTGGGTCCTCCAGACTCACTGGTTCTGGCCCTGGAGGTGACCGAGGCTCTACTGTAGGAACCCGCTGTGACGAAACAGTGGAGCCTGCCCTCCCGCCAGGCCCTGCACCACTCCGTGCCTCAGCCCCAAGTGCCTGCTGATCTGTTACTCATCAGCCCTTGGGAAATCTTTCCTGAGGAAAGATGGATACTGCCATTGCCAACTTCATCCTCAGAGGTGCTCCACTCTCTCTGCTGCCCCACCCCAACCTCTCCATGAGATTTCAGTTGACCCTTGAACAACAGGGGCTAGGAGTGCTGACACACACACCCACCTTCCCACCCAGAAGTCAAAAATTCTAGTATAACTTTTGACTGCCCCAAAACTTTACTAATAGCCCACTGTTGATCAGAAGCCTACAGAACAGTCAATTCATATGTATTGTATATATTATACTAGAGGCCTGGTGCATGAAAATCGTGCACTGGGGTGGGGGGTCCCTCAACCTGGCCTGCATCCTCTCACAGTCCGGGAGCCCTCAGGGGAGTGGACCTAAGCTGTCAGTCCGACATCCTTAGCACTGCTGCGGAGGCGGGAGAGGCTCCTGCCACTGCCGCTGCACTCGCCAGCCATGAGCCCAGCTTCTGGCTGAGCGGTGCTCCCCCTGTGGGAGCTCACTGACCACCAGAGGGCAGCTCCTGTGTTGAGTTTCTGCTGAGACCTTACACAAGTTCACTTAGTCACACAGAGGAGGAGGAGAGTCCCTCAAAGGAGAGAACATTTCCATGCTAAGCTATACCCAAAAACTCATGGTACTGAATCACAAACTTCATAAAATCCTTATCTGTAATTCCGTGAGTCATAAGGGAGTCCTGGACCTGCGCAGTTCAAACCTATGTTGTTCAAGGGTCCACTGCATAAGCAAGGAGGCCAAAGAGCATGAGCTCAGTTTTTCTTAGGCCTTTCGTTTTAAACTTGACTTTTTTTGTTTGTATTCAATGCCCTTCCGTGGGCAGAAAACCCTCTACCAAGTTCATATTTCCTGAGGTTCCAATGTTATGAAATAAGGTTGGCCCCTCTGGACATCTGAATTTTCTCTGAACAGAGGCAATAGTGACTCTGCTGAACCTGTCCTGTCAGGAAGAGCTATACACACAGGGGTATAATGTGAAGGAGCCTGTGTGGTGCTGCCATGCAGATGCCAGCCCACGTAAAGCTTGCACACGCCTGTCACAGAAATGCCTCTGTTAGGGGGCATTTAGCTCCCCTTGGAGAAGGAACTATACAGCTAAAAAGCAAGCCCAGGATTTGTAAATAACTTGCCATTCCATTCTTAGATATCACAACTCCAATGTGAATGACGTTTGCAGATTGGCTAGTCACTTCAAAACACCCCAGAGGAACAAGATGTCATAGTGGTGTTTGATCCTACGCAGAAAGCACTGAGTAGGATCCCGGCCAAGCTTCTTGGGCAGGGTGGGTTGGGTAAAGCATAAAAAGAAAACAGGTATAAATGAAGAAAAAAATAGAAAACAACCAATGAACCAGCTACCGATCTTTGCCAGTTCTTAATTTGGCCCTTGCCACCTATGCCACCAACTCAAAGCCTTATTCTAGACTTTTTCTTGTTGAAGGGCCCTTTCATTTTTGTCACCTTCTTGCTTTAACATCTTTCCATTAAGAACATCTTATTGACCATCACCATGAACCCACTTTCTTTCCTGCAGCCGTTCCTCTGAGCATTTCCTCCCCAAATTGTTACCTGGCTGTGGAGGTCAGAACTGGGTTATTAGGAGCCCTGACTAGGATTCTAACAGGCCTAGGAGCCTCAGGTCCACAACCCTGAGTTCAGCCCAGTGGACAGGGTGTTGCCTGGGCTGCTCCTAGGCCCAAAAAAACAGCAGAACTCTTGGTTTAACAGCTGCCAACAGGCGTTTTAACCTTGGGGACGTTTAAGAGTGCAAAGACAGCAGGAGAAGAAGGGGAACTCTGACTGTCACATTAAGAACAGGTTTCCCCTTTTCATCCGGCAGGCGTGGCACAATGCCATGTGGAATCCCTGACCTCTGGCACATGGCCGAGGGGACTCCCACGCCGAGACCTTACACAAGTTCACTTAGTCACACAGAGGAGGAGGAGAGTCCCTCAAAGGAGAGAACATTTCCATGCTAAGCTATACCCAAAAACTCATGGTACTGAATCACAAACTTCATAAAATCCTTATCTGTAATTCCGTGAGTCATAAGGGAGTCCTCACATTTTAGGGGATTATCTGGTTGTCAAGTACACCCCTCTCCTCAAGGTCCCAAACCTAGCCAGCAACAGGGCCAGCCCTTGTGACTAGGTTCAGAGCCCCTCCTAATATTCCATGATGCTAATCTTGAATTCAAAATTTCGTGGCATGTTTTAAAGAAAGCATTACTTCAGAAAAGTTAATGTGTTGGATAAAAATACCCACCACTCCAATACCTCAACTGTCCATGTAGAGCATTATTTCATAGAAGACAGTCCTTGACCTGTTAGTTCTCGATCACTTTAAAATCAGGTCCAAGTTTTCCCTTTTAGTTTCTTCTCTAATTCTAAGGATTTGGCTATATTTTTCTAAAATATTTTTAATCTGTTTTATTGATTTTAGAGAGAGAGAAAGGGAGAGGGAAAGATAGAAACATTGATGAGAGAGAAAACATTGATCGGCTGCCTCCTGCACCCCTCTACTGAGGATGGAGCCCGCAACCCAGGCATGTGCCCTGACCAGGAATTGAACCAGCAACTTCTTGGTGTATGAGATGATGTTCAACCAACTGAGCCACACCAGCCGGGCTCCAAAAATATTAAGAATAGAAACACTATTTTTATTTATAAATTTTTATTCTATCGCCTACTTATAAACAACCTTGAGGGATCATACCACTAAATGCTGTCACTTTTGAACCTATTCATCCTTTTCTAGATCTTTAAGGTATACTCATGTTATAAGAAGTGACACGGACAGAGGAAACAGCTTTTCATTGTTGTTATTGTTGTTGGTGGTGTTTTTAAAGAAGTAAATGGAAACATCAGTCCATTTCCTTAGTATAACCACAAAAGAGTGTTTGTTATATATGAGCCTCTCATTAAAACCTGGCCATGCACAGCTAGTGGCATATGAGTAGTATGCCCATTGCTTTCTTTGTAAAGTAATCTGACTGCATGCACTAGGGGTGTTAGCCAGTTAATAACTAGCCGTTAGCCCAGTACACTGATTTTTAGAGATCTGCTTTAAGACAGTAAGCAGGAAGAGGGTTATCTCAGTTATTTTTACATATAAAGATGCCTACACAAACATAATGCCTCACAAATAAGAAAATGATTATATAAATTATTGCACATCCATGTCACATGCCTGGCTATACCCCCTAGGCCTAACACAGTACCTGATACATGCTAAGGTCTCAGCAAGTATTTGATAAATTTATGACAAAGAAATATAGTGCAGTTATAAAAGTGTTTCTGAAGAATATTTAATGGCACGAGGAAATAGATTCATAATGTTCTATTAAGTGGAATAAACACAATATAAAACAGTTATCTATAGCATGACTCTATTTTTTAAAAGACTGGAGAAAAATATGCTAATTTTGACAGATCTATTTTATTTATGAGTAATTTTTCTTACTAACTTTTTAATATTTTCAAACAATTTTAAAACAATAATCATATATTATTATACTTAGAAAAAAATAATCAAACATGTTTTTTAAAGGCCACTCTGAGAAACTATATTCTGATTTCTTGAATGAATGAACAATGATCTTGCATTTCAAAGTCAGTTAACGTGTGATTTGTTTAAAATAAATTCAATTGTATTGCTTGTATGAAACCATTTATACATAGTACCTTCAGGTAAAGTGTATTATAGAAATGAATTCTCTCAGCACCTTTTACAACCTAGACAACTAAGTTAAGCATATGTTAGTGCCACCTTCTAAAGATAATGAAAGATATCCATTAACCTCCACAATTCCTTACGTAATTAGGAAATGAAAACACTTTCTGGTTCTCCACATTTACAAAATAAACATTTACTTACTCATATTGATCTAAGTTGTTTGATTTCTTTCCTGTTACATAATTACTTGGGATATATCCTTCACTCCTAGAAAGAAGAAAAATACTTTAGGTAAATTGATATTATCTTACTAAGAGGTTATTAAAAGAAAGATTATTGCCTTCTTAAAATAATTAAAGTATAATATTGCCTAAAGTTTATAAGAAAGACTAGCTGACCCCCGATAAGTCAATATAGCGATAGCATTTAATGCTTTACAAAGTCCCTCCTCATTTGATCCTCACAATGATTCTGAAATAGGCAGGCATTCTGTACCTACTTTCTGGTGGGGAAACCAAGGCTTAGAAAGATTAAGAGGCTTTCTCAAGGTCCCACACCAGGAAGAGGGTTATCTCCGTTATTTTTACATATAATGATGCCCACACAAAGCCAGCAACAGGGCCAGCACTTGATCTCGTCTCTGAACTTGTGGCTAGGTTCAGGGCCCTTCCTAATATTCCATGATGCTGGTCTTGAATTTAAAACTTCTTGGGAAGTTTTAAAGAAACCAATACTTCAGAAAAGTTAAAGTGTTGGATAAAAATACCCACCACTCCAATACCTCATGTAGAACATTATTTCATAGAAGGTAGTCCTCGACCTTTTACATCAGTATTATCTGGAGTGCTTGTCAACAAGGCAAATTCTTGGGTCATACCCCAAGAGATCTGAATTGAGAAGGTCTATGTGAGGCCAAGAAATCTTTGATTTTTACCCCATATGACTCTTATACACATTATAGTTTAAGAATTCATAATAGGTGGAATCTTGGTAAAAGCCAAGATTCTCCACATAAGAAAGAAGAGATACATGTATAACATTTAAAAATTGAGTGAAAACCTTGCAATCTTCACTCTGAATTGGAACTATTAGTAAGAACTCATAATACATTCACACAAAGTGTGTATGTATAGCTCTATTACACTGAGAAAGACCTAGAAGCAATGACAATCCAGTAGCAGTTATAATCCCAGCACCCCAACTATTGTCTCCAGATATTATTTCTTGCTAAGAGGAGCTAGCACACACCTGACAGCAAGTATTTTATACATACAGTCACATACATATAGATTCTCTCTCTCTCTCTCTTTTACTTACCTCAGGGGGTAAAAACATAAAAATGCAGCTTTTCTCAAGATAAATAATCCAATTAAACATATCATGGATGAGAAAGAGACCAGTGTAATATATTCTAATTTCTGGAAAGAAGTGGTCAATCCATTCACATTTATTGCATCACTGATAAGAATACACTGCGTTACTGCAAAGTAATAATGTGTACTTTCTCTTATGGCCAGTGGAACCAGTCTCATTCCATGGGAGTTATACATTTTCCTCTTCTCCTCAGCACTTAACCCCCACCACCCACCGTGTGTCACACACAGAGAGGGAACACTTACCCATATTTATCTCTTGCTCTCCACCAATGAACATCATTCTTTTCTAATATGATATACTCTTGGCCTCTCTCTAACCTGAGATCATGTGCTTCTGTCGCTTGGAAATCATACATAGCTACAACTATTTCTTCACTATTATCCTCTTCTTCAGGTGGAATTGGTGGGGGAGGCCTTCGCTAAGAAAAAGAGAGAACATGTGAAAGCTTAGTTTTCCGTTTGTGTGCAGTCAAACACCGAGTGATTCACACATCACCACAGAATAAAGCAGAACCCTCCAGTCCGCCTCATATCATCTGGTGAACCCGCCCATAAGTCTGATGCTACTGGACCTCTCCTGGGTTTCAGAATATAGGACAGGAGTAAAAACTATCTTTAAACTTCAAGAGGCTTCTGCTCAGGGGCAGGGGCAGCTTTCCAGGAAGAAGGAAGGGTGATATGTGAGTAGAAACCAGAAAAGGGAGACCCGCTGCTCAAATGGCCTGCAATGGGGAAACACACCATGGAGTGGAGACTTTTATCTGGTCTCCTCCCACTCAAAGGAATTTACATCTGTCTTCCTGTGTGCGAGACACACACTTAGTACCTACTTATCCTTAACACATAATTCCCCATTTACAACTGAGGAAACAAGGTTTTAAGTAACCCACTCAAGGTCACTCCTATCAGACTCACGTTGGATCAGGCCCTGTCTGGGTCCAGCGTACCTGTGCTTCCCACCATATCCCACTCTTCAAAGGTGTGTCACTAAATCCGCGCAATCACTCCTGTGCCATAAGACTGTGGGTTTAAGACTAAAATATTCCTGTGAAGTCCCACACCTCTTACACAATTCTCTTTTTAAAAATATTTTTTTTATTAATTTCAAAGAGGAAGGGAGAGGGAGAGAGAAACATCAATGATGCAAGAGAATCATTGATTGGCTGCCTCCTGCACACACCCTGACTGGGTGGGAATCAAACCCTGACCTCCTGGTTCATAGGTTGACACTCAACCCCTAAGACACACCAGCTGGGCCTCTTATACAATTCTTGAAGCCAAACTACAGGCAAAATGCCAGATGATAGTAGGGGCCCCAATGACAGTATCTGATACGATTAATACTATTTGACACCCCCAAAATCAAATAAGCTAGAGCACATCTGTTTCTGATATGATGGGGGTTGGGGTGGGGCATACAGCATCACCTGAATGAATATAAACATACTCAATAAACTGCAAGTCCTTCCAAAGTTAAAGGCCACCTACCTTCTTTGTTTCTGGTGCTGGAGGTAGTACTTTTCTTATACCTGAAAATGACAACAACAAAAGTAGGTCAACATGCCATCTACCAATGATTGATCATTTTAAGGAAAAATGAAAATGAACACATAGGCGAGAATTCCACTCTGACTCTCTCAGTATGGTGCATGTAGCTTGTATTAATATTTGCAACAGAATTTTAACATGCTGTTCAAGTCGGTTTGTATTTCTGTCTTTCTGAACAGGTTGTAAAGGCCATAGGGATTGGGGCCTTCTTTAGTCTTTGTAAACAAGTGGGATTATATCAAACTAAAAACCTTCTATTAAGCAAAGGAAACTGTCAACAAAATGAAAAGGCAGCCTATGGAAGGGGAGAAAATATTTGCAAACCACATATCTGATAAGGGATACATACATAAAACATACAAGGAACTCATACAACTCAATAGCAATAATAATAACAATCAAAAATGGGCAAAGGAGCTGAAGACATTTTTCCAAAGAAAACATACAAATGGCCAACAGGTATATAAAAAGATGCTCAACATCACTAGTCTTTAGGGAAATGCAAATCAAAACTACAATGATATATCACCTCACATCTATTATAAGGGCTGTTACAAAAAATACAAGGGATAAATGCTGGTGAGGACATGGAGAAAAGGGAGCCCTCGCGCACTGCTGTTGGGAATGTCAACTGGTACAGTCAGTATGGAGGTTTCTCAAGAAAATAAAAATAGTTCTACCATATGACCCAGCAATACCACTTCTGGGTATATATATATACACAAAGGAAATAAAATCAATACCTCGAAAAGATATTTGCACTCCCATGCTCACTGCAGCATTATTCACAATATCCAAGGTATAGAAACAACATAAGTGTGTTGAAAATGTGATATACAAGGTGTCCCCAAAACATAAATATACACTTTAACAGCTGGTAGCTCAATTGATGTTTCATTCTTTTCAGCCAGACTAAGCTTTGAACAAAGGAATTTCACCCTAAGATGCTACTGGAAGTTTGAAAATGCAGTTGAAGTACAAACACTGCCTTTATATTTATTCAAAGTGTCCCAAAAATGTATATACAGTTTAACACCTAATAACTCACTTAATTTTCACTTTTTCAAGTTTAACTGATTTGAAATAATGGGTGAACCAGACTAAGCTTTGAACAAAGAAAGCTTATCCACTAGACTTTTTTATGGGGACACATAAAAGATAAAGTTTACAGAGCAAAACTGGCAATAGTTAACGAATTGAGGGCGCACAAATACCAAACAAAATGATTCCTGATGTTTGCAATTCCACTGCTTTGCATTAACAGCAGTGCCTGGACCAGAACAGTCATCAGTTTGAAAACAGGCATTGACAAAAAAAAGTATTAATTACTGTACATCCTTTCAAATTTTGAAAATGAACTGTATGTTAATAAAGACTAACTTTAATAATTATTCAAAGTATGTATACATTTTTTGGAGATACTCTATAGGTGTCACCCATATGGTATCAGTTATATATGGAATCTTAAAAAAAAAAAGTCAAACTCATAGAAAAGTGAGCTGGGAGTAGGAAAACAGAGATGTTAGTAAAATGGTGCAAACTTTCAACTGTAAGATGAACAAGGTCTGAGGATCTAATGTATACCATGGTGACTATAATTGATAACTCTGTAGTGTTTAAATGAAATTTACCTAGCAGGTACAACTTAAATGTTCTCACTCATACACAAAAAAGGGAAAACATGTGAGGTGATGGATGTGTTAACTCAATGGGAGGAATCCTTTCACAACACGTAAGTTTATCAAATCATCACATTGTATCCTTTAAATATATTACATTTTTATATGTCAATTATACCTCAATAAAGTTGAAAAAAAAGGTGATGATGATGATGCCATACTAGGCTCACATTTTTAATAGTTATTTTTAGCAGGCTTCCACACTGCGATAAAAGGCCCCACAAACTGATTAGACATTTTGATTCCATGAAATGGTCCCACTACTAACTAAATATAATTATTCTTACAAGTACACCTGCCCAATATTTACGCTGTGCTAGAAAGTGCAAAGGCCACACTTAACCAACCTCAAAATCAAAATCATGTCACTTTCTCACTCCGCCAATAATATGTACATCCTGAGCACAATACAATCATAGAACAAAATGAATACTTACTACTCTCAAAAAGATTATATTTTTCACATCCAGGTGCTAGCTTTTCAGTTTGTCTGCAACACTGATAACTCCCATCTGCCCAAAACTTAGGATGATATTTAATCATAATATTATTGTTGTTCTTTATTTCTGAAATTCATAAACACATTAAATGATTAGTGAAATAAGGCAGAGATGATAATGTCTCTTTAGTAACAGTCAACCATTCTTTATTTCTCAGATTCCATATTTATTATGAGAACTACCTCATAACATCATCCAACCCAGCATTCAGAAAAATCCATATGGTTCTCTTTTGCCTCCTTTTTTTTTTTTGGTGAAGCACCCTTGTTAGCAGAAGTAATCTGGGCTACACTGTAATGGATAAGCAAAGAAGTCAGCCCACCACCATTCTGTTTTACAGAAGAAGCAATGAGGGTCGTATGGGACAAATCACTCATTTAAATACTTTAAGCAAAGTCAGTTCATCCACACCGAATGTTGACTACATTGTCAATTTCTTAGAAAATATCAAATCCCGTTATCATAAAAGCCCAGTGCTTTATTGGTTTTAAATATATCATGCACTAAATAAAACCATGCTTTTCTTAGAAACTATGTATATACCACTAGAAGGAATCAGATTATAAAAAAAGAAGTTATCTTCAATATGTAGCACTTAGGTAACAGAATGTCCTTGGAGAAACACTTATTGTATAGTAAAAGATTATAAATGCAAGATACATTAGCTGTGTTTCTATTTTAGTGATAATAATGGTCTGTCCTAAAATTATATACAGATTAATATTTCATTATAGGAGTTTTACCTTCTTTCAATTTCTTCACCCACTGGTCCCTGCTTTGTGCACTAGGTGCGAAAATGTAAAGTGTGTTAGCATCATGAACAACCTAAAATGAAAGATAAGACGGAGTCGGTGAGAAATACTCAGACACAGCACTTTGTCTAGCACAGAGCCCTTGGTACCACAGACACTGATAAATGATTCTGAAATAAGTGAATAAAAGTCAGTTACTTTGGATCCAAAGAACCTAGATTCCTGCCTCACAAAATGCATCTATTTCTTCATGTCTACATCGAGTAGGATACACATTTTGCAAAGGACTGTGCTTTATAGAAGAAAAAGTTATAGAGGCCAGGATGCTTCAGTAATCTGGTTATTTCCTGTGACCTAATTCACTAAAGCTCCTTAGATTAACTTGGTGTAACAGGGATGATTCTAATCCAGTATTTTTCTGAATATTATTTACTGGTAGATAAATGGACTACTCCTGAGGCATCACTCCTATACTTTCTTTTTGCCACTAGAAATAATTGCAGTAGCTAACTATTAAGCACTGACTATTCTAACTCTATGCTAAGTGCTTTACACACCTTAACTCAAGGATTCCTACCATCAAGGTCTCAGTATTTTATAGATGAAGAGACTAAGGCCTATCCATGGACTCTTCACTCCTGTGTAACACCAGGAGGCACCATTCACACAGAATGCACTGCGAGTGGTACCCATAATGTTGTGCTCCTTAACTTGCCTGTCATCATTTGCCAGGTATTCCAGAAAGCCACGATCCTGATTCCAAAGCCCAAACTTCCAACCAGTGTCTCTTTTAGAGGCAACTTTTATCAAACAACTAAATAGTCTTATTACTCATGCTTTTAGTATCCTATATAATAAGAGCTAATATGCTCATTAGACCAAACAGCAGAACGACCATTTTGTAGAGCCAACGACCTTCTGGGTGAAGCCGGGGCTGCGGGAGCCCAGGCAGCTGGGGTTGCGAGGGCCGAGCCCCTTGCACGAATTTTGTGCATCAGGCCTCTAGTTAATAATAAAATTAAACTTGGGAAAGTAACCCAAGAATTTTATCTTTGGTCTTAATGCCTGTCACAAGGCAGAAACACCTTGATTGTGTAAAAAAATATATATGGACAATGGAAAAAGAAGGGGACATATGTAATACTTTTAACATAAAGATTTAAAATCTTATATAATAAAAGCCTAATATGCAAATTGTCCCCTCGACGGGGAGTTCAACCAAGGAGTGGGACTGGCCAACCAACCGTGGGAAGGGAAGCCCCGGCCCATGGCAGGCAGCCGCTAGGGACCCTACCCCTGCATGAATTTCGTGCACTGGGCCTCTAGTATCTGTAATAATAAAAGCATAATATGCTAATTAGACTGGACATCCTTCCGGACGAAGCCGAGGCTGCGAGGGAAGCCCGGGTCCTGGGTGCCAGAGGGAAGCCAGTGCCGGCAGCTGGGGGAAGGAAGGCCTACTCTTGCACAAATTTCGTGCATCAGGCCTCTAGTCTATAATAATAAAAGCGTAATATGCTAATTAGATTGGACGACCTTCCAGATGAAGCCTGGGCTGCGAGGGCCAAGGCAGCTGCTGCGGTTGCCTCAGGCTGAGGCAAGCCGCCCTGGATGCGAGGTCTGAGCCCCTTGCACAAATTTTGTGCATTGGGCCTCGTGTGTGTGTGTGTGTGTGTGTGTGTGTGTGTGTGTGTGTGTGTGGCTAGCAGCCTCTCTTCACCACATCAACAGCCACTGGATTGAACACAAATAGCTCTTTCATTGGCAAATGGCTGTGCCTGGCCATCTTCAATAGGTAATTCCTTCCCATCATTTCAATCAAATAAATTTAGTCTAAGAGCAATGTGAGCACCATAGAACAACAGTGTCATATTTCATTCAGTGATGAATTAATCCAACTAGCATTTTGATGGGACTACATAGATATAAAAACATATCAAACAAGAACCTTATTTTCAAGATGTGGATAGAAATACTTTATAACAAGACAGAAAGTGAGACATGATAGAGAGGTAAAGATAAAGCACTAAGAGAGATGTGGGGATCTACATTGCCTCGTTTGGTCCATGATTTTCACACCTGTGATAATGTAATTTTAAGAAAATAAATATCTATTTGATATTCATCATTGTTCCTGGCACAGAAATCCTAAAACCCTTGGAATATCCAGTGCCTAGAGTGACAAAGATGTCTTTTGTTGTGCTAATGAGGTGACTTCCGGAAAGTACCTAAGGATGAGGGCTGGTTGTCAATAGAGCCAACCTTGTGATTAAAGGGTTGGCACTTCCAGTCCCCCTACCCCACCCCACCCCAACTCCAGGGAGGGGAGAGGGACTAGAGACTGAGTTCAATCAACAATGGCCAATGATGTCATCAATCATGCTTATGCAAGGAAGCCTCCATAAAAACCCTAAAAGGAGCAGGTTCAGGGAATTCCTGGGTTCGTGAATACGTGGAGATGTGGGGAGAGTGGAGGACATGACACCACCATGCCCTTTCCCCATGCCCTGTCCTATGCATCTCTTCCATCTGGATGCTCCTGAGTCACATTCTTTTATAATAAGCTTGTGATCTAGTAAGTAGAATATTTCTCTGAGTCCTCTGAGCTACTCTAGCAAATTACTCAAGAGGAGACTGAGGAAACCTCTGATCAGCAGCACAGGCGATAACTTGGGGTTGCGACTGGCATCTAAAGTGGGACCAGTCTTGAGAGACTGAGCCCTTAACCTATGGGATTGATGCTGTCTTTGGTCAGATAGTGTTAGAATTGAAATGAATTGTAAGACACCTAGCAGGTGTCAGGGAATTACTTGGTGGTGTGTTAGAAAACACACAATAGGGTGGTGAAGGCCTGGGGTGGGGCAGGAACCGTTGGTGGGGGTCAAGGGGGAAGAAGGGGGGGCATCTGTAATACTCTCAACAATAAACATAAAAGAAATTAAAAATAAATAAATACATACATACATACATAGAAAACACACATACACACATTGGAAATGGGTGTCAGAATCTTACCCAGGTTCGTCAATGCAATCAACTCTGTACCTAAGAATTAGGTAAAAATGTACCATGAAACAGTCATTCTGAATTGAACAGGGTTATCTGGAAAGAACTGCTAGGGCTTTGAACCTTCCAGAAACCTGGGTGTGTGGTAATAATTCATTACAATAATCCATTTTACTAAGTCTTTACATCAGGATTAGCACCTACATACACTGGCCCATTTAATCCCTATGGCAGCCCATGTCTCTATTAGCAATAGGACCCTCATTTTCCAGATGAGAAAACTAAGGGAGGTGAGCTTATGTCATCTGAGTAGGATCTGTTTGACCTACAAAGGCCCTTCTTGTTCATGTTTCCCCCAAACACCTTGATGGGGCCCCTGGACCAGTTCCCTGCTGGAATCTGCCTTTTCGGGGTCCAGTCTAACTTCTCCTCAAAGCTCACCTCTTGACAGTATGGTGAGCCTGTAACGTTGTTAAAGTTTTTTCAAGGCTAGCCAATCAGAGGAAAACCAATCCAAACACAGAGTTCTGATAACCAAGACTAGATACATTACCTAGCTAACTTGGGACATTTGTATTCCTATAAAGAAATATCTACAGATAGCACCCTCAACCCAAAAGATGACCATGAATGTGGCATCTCAGGCAAGCCGGTGGGTGAGCTATCTGGGTCCAGTATCTTCTCTCAGCAAACCCCCGAGCACACCTGGAGGCCACCTCCGTGTCACCCACGGGGACAGCTGACTGGGGCAGAGGGCACGCAGGGAGCCATGTCCCTTCAGTGTGTGCTTCATCTTCCGGTGAGTCATCCTGCCAAAGCAGACAGTGTCAAGGAGGGAAGAGCTTTGCAGACCTTGTGGTACAGAAGCCAGTTCAATGAGGATGAAATATACCACCACCCCCACCACCCCCTTAGGAACAATCCTTAGTCCTTACCCTCCCTCCTATTTGCATCTTCATCCACTCACTCCTTTATTCAAGAGACCTTCAGGGACAATGCATCTAACAGCTGTTAGACAGACAGATCTGAGTTCAAAACTCAGGAAAGAAATGCCACCGCCTGGGGAACCCCCTTGCCATCAGCAGACTCAGCTAAGGAAGCAGCTGGCTCCTCCTCCTGTGTTCTCTGTTCCATCCTGGGCGAGAATATGCTGAGCTGGGAAGCAACCTCTTTTTCTTTCTTAGTGTCTTTTGAAAATGTCTACTTCTGCTTTGCTTTGCTTTTCCTTTTTTTTTTTGGCATTGCATCTGCATGTGATACAAACTTTCACTGTGAAGATGTGAAACTACAACCCGAACTTTAGGTTATACTTAATAAAATAAGAGAGTATTTTTTACCTTTTAAATCTTGCTGGTTTAAATCACATAGTTAAAGCTCACGTTTACCTCTTCTTCATTTTTAAGGCGGTTTTTTAATTTTTCTTGTATTTATTCATCTCAACAACTAAAAATGGTTCTGGGTGGAATGCTTCCTGTTCTCATATTTTCCTCATCATTCTAAACTGCTCCAAAGTGTGCATGGCAGATCTCTTTCTCTTGGAAAGCAAAACTTCTAATTCTGAGCCTAGACCATGAGAACCGTAGCTCCCCACATCCACCTGCCACCCTGCAAATGTCTAGCAGACATCAGAAGTGTGACGAACAAGATTTCAATTGGGCTTACTTCTAGATCTGAGGTAGGTGTAGTGTTAATAGCAGCAGTAAGAGAAGTAACAATAACAACAATAACAATAGCTATTACAGTAGTTAGTTAGTTAGTTAGTTAGTTAGCTAGCTAGCTAGTTAGTTATTAACAAAGGAAGGGAGCAAATGAAATCAGACTTAAGCCTGATTAACTAGGAAGGGCAGTTTCACAGACTCCCCAAGGGACAGCCACTTCCTCAACGACAGGGACCTAATCCTTGAACAGACAGGAAGAACTGCTTTCCACACTCCCCCAGGGACAACCTGCCCGTGCGCTGGGGATGGGATGGGGCAGGATGACACAGTGGGAAATACCTCTGCTGAGGCATGCGCAACAGAAGCCAGATGATGAAGCAGGACCATAAGGTATATGCAGTGGGAGCCCAAATGGCAACACAAAGGGGAGGAGTCTAGCCTGGGGAAATCG